GGTGAATTTTTCGGATCGGAAGTTGGTCCTGGCCTTCACTCAAATATTTCTCAATATGGTTTCGGACCTTTGAATGAAAATTTGGCTTAAATATTTGCGACAATGGAAATACATAGTTGTAATTGCAAGAAATTTTGAAAACCTGTCGGAACTCGACTTGCAAACATTTCAGCATAATTAACGCCTGCGAATCTTCAACGGCGTAACAAGTATGGGGAAGATATCCGTAGATCATGGATAACACGGAATTGATAGGATATCTCACATCAAATCGCGACACGGTTACCATACTTGCGAAAAACAGGGTTGGTACGAATTCAAAGAAAGTGATAAAATAGATTATGAAATTTTTTATCGCAATTTTGTCCATGACCATATCCATTTTTCGCATGTCATCATCAATTTCATTCCAATTGTTGAGCGACTTTGATAGCTCTGGTGCTTTAAGAAAAGCGAGTAAATAGTCGATGGCTGAGATGATAACGTACAGCGTACTGATAGAATTGACCAAGCCGTATGAGAATCCAGAGACGTAATCGTGTATGTGGTAAATAATAGAATTGTCTGGTGGCCAACTACATATGAAAAGTGTACAGTATAATTTATTTAATTAAGAAATTACGTATCAGTAATTATATAACTTCGCGGTTGAAATTTATTCAGGTTCGGAAACTTCTAAACTTCAGAACAGTGTTTCGTATCTTGCAGGTTTTCTACATTTCTTGTATTGCAAAGCTAGAAAAGCAAAAAGGTTCAGGTGCAAGAAACTGCTAGAAATATTGCGGCGCACCCTATGTATGAACTATGGATACCAGCGGGAAGTAGTTTCCTGTGTCTTGTATTTCATGCGGGTCAAAATAGCTACAAGAAACCACTTTCTGCAGTTATTAATTGAAGTAGTTACATGCACCCGAAACACTGTTTCAGAACTTATTAAATTGAACTGGCATCGTTCAAATGAAGAAGTTCTGCAAGGTATATGCACAATCCTAATTTCAATTCAACCAAAACTTCTGTCACGTGTCAGGTCAGATTTCATTTTCGAGTTCTATATAGCAAAAATGCAGTGACAATTTTTTACTTACATGCCGCTCCCTTGAAACAAGTCGTATTCAAGAAAGTCGCTGTATTGTATGTGCCCAATTGCTAAAGAGATATGTAAAAATAGCGCTGAAATTAGCGATAATACGAACGATATGGAACTCAGCTTGAACTTAAATTTGACTTGTTTCTTGTTCCGAATATATTCAAAAGTCAAAGGACACCGAGAAAGGTATCGGGTCAACTTGAAAAAAGGGATGACCTGACAAGTCAAACCAGGTGGTGGGAGTGGAAGAAATTTATTTACGGGGAGGTTTTTGGACGTGAACATATTCTGCACAAGTAAGAATTTTGGTTGAAAAAATGCACAAAAAGAAGGAATGAATGCTAGCGTGTAATGAAATTTGCAGTGGAATGTACAAACGCAAGGGTTGTACAAATTGGAACCTAATTAGACAAATATTTGAACATGGTTTATGATAATTGTGATCAGTATAGTAAAGAAGGCGCGGTTGAGGAAGAATACTGTTAGGGGCCGTTCATAAATTATGTTTATGAACGGAAAATTACGCAAAAATCAACTTTTTCAGACCCGTCCCCCCCCTCTGTCACAGTAGTGTAACGCAAGACCACTACCCCCCCTCCCCCTGTGTAACGTAACGCAAATCTCATTTTTCCCAGAAAAAATGAAAGACCCAAAAGGGACGTAACGTTTTACCCCCATTTCTTTGTTGGTTAGGATTTGATTGACGTTTTGCTTTATTTTCTGTTCTTTTTTAATTTAATTTAAAGATTTGCTTCTTCCTCAATTTTTTGGGAAGAAATTGTAATCTAAAGTTTGATTTGATAACTTTGTTACGTTAAGAATATATAATTTTTTAAAGTAATGTTCATGTAAATTTCACTGGAAAATCTTCAGTAAACACTAACTGTGGCGAACTTATTTTAAGTTCTCCTCAAGGGAACATGAAGCCTGATCTTCAGGTTGCATTGTATGTGGGGCATTGTGGGGTTTGAAATGTGAATTCTTCTGGGTCAAGTTGTCCGTCTTCCATGTACTCAAATGACGATTTTGAAACATGTAAATCTCCGTGCGTTTTTTTTAAATGAAAATTTAATTGCAACTAAACATCGATAATTTTTAGGTTTGCAAAGTTAGGAGGTTAGAATTTTGATTTTTCCTTCCATCAGAAAATATTTAACTGTTGCTTGTTAATCTTTATTTATTGGGAGAATTATTATTTACGGACATTGTGGATGTACAAATGAGAAAAACTTTATTGTTTTCTAAATGGTGTCAAGCTTTCGATCTCGAATTGTGATGGTCTTCAGGACGGAAAATATTACAAATCGATTATTATTATTCCCACAGACTTGAAATTTAAAATTTAAATAATTTATGGTTGCTTGATAAGTGGAACCAATAGCGACGACCAAATTGGGTTAATCTCCATGCCGGAGTCCTTGTTCATTGTGTTGGGGGTTTTCTATGAAAATATCTTGGTTCATGAAAAATTAAACTTACTGAGTTAAAATTGATATCATGTTGTGGAAATTCTATCTTGTGCGTTGCAACTGCTGAGTTTTCTTTTCGTTTTTCGGTATCCTTGATGTGAAATCTTTATTTACTTTATTTCTGTTTTTTATCTTGGACGAAAATGTCGACATTTTAACCTCGCAAACCTACAAATTACAGTATTTTACGTGTAATTAAATCTTCACTTTAAAAAAACAACGGAGATGTACAGGTTTCAAAATCGCCATTCGAGTACATGGGAGAAAGGAACCTTGAGAAACAATAATTCAACTTCAAAACACACATAACATGGAACGTTGAAAGGACATGCAACTCCATTACACAACGACAACGCGGAGGGGTCTAATTTTCATAAATTTTAAAACCGCGGGGTTTATTTTTTTACGCAATTACTAATTTTAATCTATTTTAGTTTGCGTGACGTAACGCAGACCTTTGACCCCCCCTCCCCCCTCGTCACATCTTGTAACGCAACTCTCAGACCCCTCCCCCCCCTCTCGCGTTACATAATTTATGAACGGTCCCTTATTTTAACAGTATATATGCACTTACATTCATTTATGCATATGCCTACTTTGCATAATTGCTTTGGTTTTTGTTGTACTACAAACACTTTTCTAATTACTTAATTCATTCGTGAATTTGTTAATATTTCGTACATGGCTAATTGTCATGTACATGTTATAAGGGAAAGGCACAATAAAAGAAAAATTACGAGACATATGTATGTACATACATACGCTAATACTCTTAAATATATCAATCATGAATCGCATGTACGTATGTAAACTTACCGTAAGACTTACCTTACTTACTGTTAGAAACTTAGATATTTGATAAGGCAATTTTCATGAAATGCGTAACTTTCGTTTAAATTTTCATTAATATTTATTTGGGTTTAATTTATGTATGTACAAATTGATTTATGTAAAGCCTGTCTTGTTATGTTTTTAAACTTTAAGCTAATTTTAATAAAGTACAAAAGTAATAAAGTAAATTTAATAAGTAATTTTACAAAAGTCGTAGGTGCATGACCCCGTCTAAATATAATTAATTGTAGAGTTGGGGCATTTTACTGAATGATTTGATGCCTTGACCCCCGTTCTTGAGAAACCACTTTGCAGGGTTGGCCAAGATAATTTAACAAGATACAAGATATCAGATACAAGATACAAGATATATCTTGTATCTTATATCTTGTGTAACGGAGTTTATCTTATCTTTTATCTTGTATCTAAACGTTTCGCAAAAGTATTTTGTATCTTGTATCTTGTATCTGGAGAATTTATTTCAACCATATTTTATTTGAAATACTAGTCAAGATACAAGATACTTTTTTTAGTGAAAAACCCGGAAACTTGCATATTTGGTAGTATTAAAACTTGGAATTATGAAGATTTAAAAACCTCAGTGTACAGCTTTGCCGAGCCGGATGCAAGGTTCTGTTATATAACGTCGTAATATTTATTTATCCACAGTAAATAAACCCTCGCACGTTGGCAAATTTTGTAATTTGCATTATATTCCTAATTTGTACCACAATTAGAGCAATTATTCCAAATTTCAACTGAATATACTGGTAATAATAATTTCAGCTCCATAGAATAATTTTAAAAAATCAGTATGGGTCACCACAGACGAAATCCTCATATTTGTTTATAAATTGTAAACAGAGGGTGAGGACTTGCATTATAAATTACAATGCAAGTTATGAGTCTATACTATCATTATTAACAAGTTACTCGGCTACAATACAAAAAATCAAGTGGTGCTTCGTTATTTCATGTTTTTTGCAAGCTCCGAATAATTTATCTTGTATCTTGAAAAAATTATTTCAAATAAATATCTTGTATCTGGGATCACAGCAGATAAAATCTATCTTGTATCTTGTATCTTGTGTAACTCTAATTATTTGTATTTAGTATCTTGTATCTTAAGGTTTCGTTCAAATATTTTGTATCTTGTATCTTGTATCTTTGAAACAAAGTATCTTGGCCAACCCTGCCAGTTTGAAATATGGGACAGTGAATAACCGTGTTGACATTGTCCCTCTGTCCCTACGCTTCCGCGGCCACTGAAACTAGATATGTACCACAATCATTTATATTTATGGTCTTACACATGTATGCAGTTTTGCAATTACAAGGTGAATTAACAAAAAATAAGCATTACCTACACATATGTACATGTACCTTTGCAATAATGATTGTGTTTTCGCGTGGGAATCTGCCGCCTGGATTTTGTCGTAGCACTTTCGTGTAACAAGATATGTAGCGGCATAAGCTTTGTTGGACTTGGTTACCATGACGATTACCTAACTTATTTGTTACATACATAGGTATGTATAATTCAGCACGGGATTTATTTTCCATAACTCGATATCAAGATTTTGCTTCGTATATTTTGTATCCAGTGTTCAGGTCTCGTAATTTCGCAATTATAAATAATTGTTCCCTCAGTAAAACATGCATATTAACGGTTTTGTCTGTTCAGTTTGATTTAGATCGTGCTTGCAGCACAATTGTGCATGCGAGTGTTATTTCAGGTTTAAATATTTTTTTGAACATGATTTTCAAAAATGAAAGTTATTTTCGCATTTTTGTAATTGGGATTTTGATAGTTGGTACATACGCGGATAATCATGACTTGGTTATTAATGAGAAGCAAAAGGTGGCTTTGGACAGGGTAAATTTATGTATATAACTTTAAATACATAATTTGTAGACTTTATATATTAATGTTTTCGATTTGTTCAAAGTTTCGAGAACTTATGCGGCCGCAATTATCGCTGGATTATATGAAGAAAGATATTTATCTGATTCGCTGGTTGAGGGGTGAGTTGGATTAAATTTATTCAAATGTGTGCAGTTCATCCAACTATTTACATTTTATTCTGTTCAGATTTTGTGCTAAATAGTTTGTATGTATTCAAAGTATTTTTTGAAAGATAATCTGATCGCATTCGGATTACTAGTACAGGTTATTTTTTGGACATTAATTACCAGATTCAAGCTTAAAATCCAATTAGTAAAGTGCTCATTGTTTGTACGTTAAAATTTTGTATGGTAGAAAAGTATCATGAGACCAAATATGTGTCTACATGCATACAAATATTTATATATAAATGAGGGAAATATATTATCTGTAACATTAAAATGATTTAATGTTGCAAATACACGAATAAGTGTAATTCATATAAATATACATATGTAAGTGTACATAAATCTTTTTCCTCATCAGCAACCAGGTTCGACATAAAAGCAGCGGAAAAAATGCTGACGGAGGTAAGTTACATAAGAACAGGAGGAAAATTCATGCAAGGATTTTTTAATGTCTTCTTTTATACGCAGAATTTAGAATGGAGGAAGGAGAACGATATGGAAAATATTCTAAATGAGGATTGGAGTGATTTTGAATCAAATTATCCCATCGAATTGCAAGGCTGTGATAAAGAGGGACGACCTGGTAAAATATTATTTCTGCGAATTAACGTCTAAACATGTATGCAAAATTTACAAACGAAATTGCATGGATTTATAGCTCTAATAAGTAATCTTGGAGTAATCTTACAAGTAATATTATAATCTTATGATTGCAATCTTGGAGATTACTTCGGTATGAGTAACCATTTGCAAGAAATAACGGCGAAAAAGTGGTTTCTTGCATGTATTTTGACCTGCAAGGCTTGTATGACTATTTTCTGGTGTTAGAGTTTTTATATAGTAAATAGGTGACGCATTTTTGTTCCACTTTTTGCAGTTTCGAATTTCTTGCGCTTCTTGCTTTTCAGTACAAGTAATGTAGCAAACCCGCAAGAAATGAAGCACTGGAAGTCGCTTTTGTGCACTTATCTAATTTATTTGCATTGTTCAGATGTATTTATTTTTCACTTTAGACTACACGTCACTACACGTTAGTAGATGCAAAATTTTGCAACGTTTGCATAATGCTTCATAATTTTGTAAAAAAATTGCACTTCTGTCATATCTAGTCTCGAGTGGAAACGCTGATGATTGGGATGTGCGAGGTGTCACCGTTTCAGGGAAATTACACCGCGGAATTCGTTACATTGACCGCGTGATTGAAGAAGCCTCGGCAATTGTGCGGGCAATGCAAGAAAACGGGGACAATGTCACCCGTCTCGTTCAACTTATTGACATGCGTCAATTCAACTTTGTTCAGCATGGTTGTCCAGTTTGTAAGCATTTCAAATTCATACTTTTTTCGGGTTTTATAATTTTCAATATTTTATTTTTGGTTTGTGTAGGCGTTCTATAATTTTCAACATTTTATATTTGTGTAGGCATCACGCTGTACGTTTATGCTATTCAAACGTATCGGGACCACTTCCCCGGTACCGTACACAAGGTTATCATGCTAAATGGTCAGTTATGCCTTTGGTTATTAAAGATTGAAACAATTTATTACAATATATTTGTGACAAATTTGGTAACAAATACAAACACTGTTAGAAATTTGGTACATCACGCGGGTATTGATTTCTCGGTGTTATAAAGTTGCTACGGCTTGATATTAAAGTTATACGGATCCGTAAAAATTTGATACCGCTGTGATACGATTTTAATACTATATGTTTGTATATGAATACTGCCTGGTATTACTTCAACACTAGATTTATAAGAGTCAAACAGAGAATTTACAGTGCAATTTTTTTAATTTGTCCTCGCTCTCTAAGTACTCAATAAGTTAGTAGTTACAATTTTGTTCAAAAAATTCCGGATTAACAATCGATAGCACATTTCCAACCAAGAAAAGTTGCCGAAATTTCCAAACAGATGAAACTAATTAAATTGCTAATTTTTAAATAGTTCCGTCCTATTTCCTCTCCATTTGGCGACTGATACGACACTTGCTACCGGAGGAGGAACGAAACCTGATCGTCCTGCACGGTCGGGATGAGACCACGTGGAAGAAGGCGTTATTAAAGGATATCGATTACACCGAGTTGACCACTGAGTATGGAGGCGTTAATAAGGACGCACCTGTCGAAATAACGGAGGTTGCCCTTCATCGAGCTGGTCTTTCGTGTGAGAGGTAAAATTATTAGATACGTATTTTGATACGTTTGAAGTAAATTTTGTTTTTATATCATTTATTTATTTCCAACATTTTAGATTACGTGCAATGCGGAAGGAGATGTCAAAATATAGATTATGATAATTTACAAACGATGAAGTAGGATTGCTGATTTTTAATCAGCTCCTAATTAGTAATTAGTAATTACATTTGGAGGCGTTCATTAATTTCAACTAATTTGATTTTTCAATTAGGAATTGGAATTTTAATAATTATAATTATAATTATAAATTCGGTCAGATATTTAATACTTCTTTTTAAAAGATAAATGATAACTGTAGTAATTAAGAATTAAACTTGATGTGATTTGTTAGTAATATTTGGGTGGCATTGCAAATAAGTTAAGTATGAATTAAATTAATTTGTCTCATTAATAAATTTAAGTAGACTTATAATAATTATGAAGCTACTTAAAACAATAATTCTGCAGACTCAGTAAATGCATAAAATAAAGAATAATAAGTATGTATGTACATACATAACTAGTAATGAGTCTAAATTCTCGCAAAACTTGTGGGAAAAACATGGTTTGTGTAGGGTACTTTAGTTGACTGATATTTGCAACAATACAGATAAATATTTACAAAGAAATGCTTTAATCTACGACTCAAACTATGTATGAACTACCGGACGCACCAGTAACATAAATTTAGGGGTACATACATATGTATGTACTAAGCTGTGCCAATTGTAAACAATTCTAAACTGCATTTCACAATTGATAAAGGCGAAATTTCTGGCGTCGAAATGCGAAATGCGTTATGCAAAGTGACACCAGACCAAATTACGTACCCATTTTCTTACATATGTAGCATTGAGATTCAATTTGAACGTGGTCCCATCAAAGTGCAACAGAGTTTAAGCATATTGGTATTCCCTTCCTTAGTGCATTTTAACGTAAATCCAAGTTGCATTATACATTCTACCTTATCTTTAGTATTTAAAATGTTAAAAACAACTTTCAAACGCATGGGAATTTCTGGGTACTCGTTCAAGGCAGCCTAATCCAAAGACTTGTCCAGAAGTTGAAAATACTTATTATCTATCTATACGTATGTATGACTGTACATATAAAATTTAAAAAGTTGACTAGTCGAGGTAATAAACATTTGAACTCAAATTATCCCACAGGGTAGTAATTACTCATTTTATAAAATTATCCCACAGGGTAGTAATTACTCATTTTATAGCATTCCAAATAACACAGCTTGATTACTTTTTACCCAGATTTGCATATTGTCATAGCTAAATATGTACCTATATAGCTGTATCTTTGGGTACATCCTCTGATGACCTGGAATTTCCTATACACGAGGTACCGGCTTATTATCCAATTCAGTCTGCTTTTTGGTAACGCTCCGGCAACTTTAAGCTTTAAATTTTCTTCAATAGAAATATTTTATACCCATGTTACGTACCATGGGTATCGACCATTTAACTTGTTGCTGTGTGATTTTAGCGTGCATCCTGATACCGGGTATTTTCTCCGGTACCGTAAAATATGCGGATGATCTAATCATTAGCCAGAAGCAAAAGGAAATTTTGGATAAGGTGTGAAACTTAATTTTTTATGCAAAATTGATCAAATTTGGAGTTTTATCGAGTAATTTAGTGGAATGATTTACCTATAGTTTCGTGAAATTGTACTCTCTCGCCTACCGCATGATTACATGAAAAGGGACATTTACCTGGTCCGTTGGCTTAGAGGTACATATTTTTAAGATATTCATAAGCTTATGAAAAATTATGCTCATTAAAAATTACAACTGTAACACTTTTGGAATTAATTTAGCAAAACGTTTTGACATTGAGGCTTCTGAAACAATGTTCATGCGGGTAAATTTTAATGGTTTTGATACACGCTAAGAAATCCAGTATTAAAATGATACAAAACTGTATTCATATATGACCCTCACAAAGTGGTAGATAGTGACCAGTAATACATATCATGTAGCATTGATTGCTAGGTATTAAAGTTTTACAAGATTGGCAACAAATTCTCAAGGGCCGGTATAATTTGAATACTTACCATGCCGTAGCAACTTTAATACTGAGAAATCTATACATACCTGCTTGAATATACCAGATTTATAACAGTGTGTATAGTTAAATATGTATTTACATCTTTATTTCTTAGAATTTGCGGTGGAGGGAGGAAAATAAAATGGACACCATACTTAACGAAGAATGGAGTGATTTAGAGCTAAATTATCCTATTCTCATGCAAGGTTGTGACAAAATAGGACGACCAGGTAATTATTTAGTTAAATGCATAAGGAGTCGTTAATAAATTATATGTAACGCGAAAATGGGATGGGAGGGTCTTTCGGCGTGGGGGCTAGAAAATCGCAATTTCTATGTTACATAATTTATGAACCACCCCTACGACGTGTGAGAGATTTTCGGGTCGTTTTGACCTTAACTCTGTCACAAATCGTTCACATGTCTCGTTTTTTTATCTCGTTTTTTTAACTTGGAACTCTTAGGATTATTTTTTTAATTTGAATTACTCTCACTCACAGCGATATCCCCACAGCATTGCGGGATAAGAATATGCACCCTATCCCTCAATGCTGTGGGGCTATGTGAAGAATAAACTCTTTCGCTGTGAGTGAGAGTACTTAAAATTTTATTCAAATTTGCTCAAGTTGTTAGCGGGCAAGCGGGTGAGTGGGACGTGCGAGGTGCCATTTTGGCGGGATTGTACGAACGTGGCCTCCGGTATGTGGACCGAATATTAGAAGAATCCGTCGTCATAGTTCGAAAAGCGCAAGAAAGAGGGGAAAATATGACACAATTTGTCGCTGTTATAGATATGAGACACTACAGCTTTGTTCAGCATGGGTGTCCGCTATGTACGAATTTTATAATTACGGTGGGAATTTTCCAGGTAGTCACCTCATTTGGATTTCTATTTACCTATTTCGACCCTTTTGCGAGACGTTTATTAAGGGTGGAAAGCCCATATCCAAAGATATATTTATAAATGTGGTCACGTTTATCCGGAAAAATTCCACAATACAAGATAACATATTTTTTCAGATAAGCATAGTATATAGAGTTTGATCCATATATCCAGGTGTGATAATGTACGCCTACGCAGCTCAATCATACCGAGATCACTACCCGGGTAGTGCACACCGAGTTATTATGATTAACGGTAATTTGAGAAAATTAAATAAACAAGTTAGACTCCGCATCGATATAAAGAGTTCATTTCATAATTAAAGTTACAAAAGATGACGATTTGATTTGGCATAAATTTTAATCTCACTCTATCCTTGTTAAATTCTTTAATGACAACTACTAAAATGACATCAATTTCACGAGTTGTGAAATACACGCAACTTTTCTACTTTAATGCGAAGTAAATTTTTGGTAATACAAAACTATTGAATAAAATTGCTCATTCATTCGCCATTTTTCACAATAAATTTCCTCAAAAATGAATTCGTTAATCGTTCCCAAATCAATAGGCTTGCAGTACCAAAAATTAATTTTTGACTAAAATATGAAAAGTTGGATTGATCTCATAACTCATGAAATTGATGTCGTTTTAAAAATTTGCATTTAAAGATATTAATTGAACAGGGGTAGAGTGAGATTAAAAATCTATGACAGAGTTATTCCCCCTTAAAGAATGGCTATATACTGAATATGAGTCCAATTAATTGTATCCTTTTTACATAGTTCCATCAGCTTTTTTAGCAGCTTGGACTTTGATACGATCCGCCCTTCCGGAGGATGAGAGAAACCTTCTCGTTTTATATGGGCGGGACGAGCATGAATGGAAAACACCGCTATTTAAGGAGATAGATCCTTCCGAGTTGACCATTGACTTTGGTGGCACCAATGAAGAAGCAGTATCTCAGATTTCAGATCATTTCTACCGAGATAACGTGTCATGTGAATGGTAAAAAAGATGAAAGTATGTATGGCGAGAATCCCGTTGAGTTTTTTATGTTTCACTTTGCAGGATGCGACATCAAAGAAATATTGATAAAAACGGGATTTGAGGATTTAGAAAGACTGAATTTGTAGGAACGCATAATATTTTTTACGGGGTGGTGCAAAATTCAACTGAATATAATAATAATAACTGAAAAAAATTAAAATTAAATCCAAGCCAAAATTTTCTCAAATGAACACCTTACATTATATCCGCACTGCATGTGCATATACACCAGGAGTTACACCTCAAAGTTTTTATAAACGAAAAAAACAATTTTTTAATCGAAAAGAAATGTTAATTAATATTAGTTATTTAATACCACCCAGATAATTAATCAGGCCAATCACGATTAGCACGTGTTTTTTTTAAGAATGTAATCTTTCTTGAAATTGTCGTCCAGTAGTTGATGGCATGGGATTAGCTAATTATCACTACTAAAGTAATTGCATATGTATTTATCTACGCAATTATCTACTTAGCTAATTACTCGATACTTCTTTCATCATCTACACAATAGGCTAAACTATCATTGAAAAAATTCATCCAATAAGTAAAATAAATATCATTTTGATGTTAATGGTCTCTCGATAATTAGGGAATGACTCGGAGTTTTCATCGTCAGTCTGAAAATGGTCATTAACCATTCATGTTCAACATGTCGTCCACCAATCAATCGTATACTAATTTTGAAACTGGACATCCGGTTGAAATTCCTTCATCAGAAAAGTCCCCGAACAAAACAGGAAGTCCATTGCCGAATGAATCACTGCTCGCTGCTGTAACCAGGGCATCAATTTGGCCCCTACGGATATCGCAGATCGCAGGATTTTTTCCAATTCCAATTCACCCCCGGAAAAATGGCGCCAATTTGTCAGCAGAACTTGAACTTCCCGCCACATTCTCTCTCCACAAGACCCCTTCCTCATGGTGGACCTTGGTTCTTATTGCGATGGCCTTCTTCCCAATCGCCTCCTTTCAAGCTGATGCTGAGCGATTTGACGATTATTCCGCAGCTTTCAAATCCCTGGGACGCAACACGTTTCGAGCGATTAACGTCTTGTGGTCACTATTTGGCAATGGGTGTCCCTTTTTAGCAAGAGTTGATGTCATCCTTCAACGTAAACGATTTATATCCTTCTGGACAAATTTCCTCGAAATGTTGAGACAATTTGATGTTATATTGAGTGGAAACCAAATACTTTTATCAATAAAATTCGGGTCATCATTAAGGAGAAAGTTCTTTGGGCATGCCTTCCTTAACTTCACCGCTTTCTCAATTGGACTGTATGGAGGTCTCTCGTTTGCGTTTCAGTACGAAGGGAAAGTAATGGGAATTTATGTAATGGGCATTTTACAAGATGGGTTCTTAATGACGCTGGCAGCCATGCAAGTATTTGGGTTCACGCTGATGCTATTTTTCCTCATGGTGTACAATCATTGTTTGGCAGTTATCCTGAACATTTTGGAGGAAAAGGGTGAACAAAATCGGGACAACGGGGTTGAACATGTGATCAAATTGTACAAACTGGTGGATGACCAGGTTCATGAATTTAACGCGATTTTCAACTACAAAATAGTTTTGGAAGTATTGTACAATTTCATGTCCATCTTATTCTATGGATATTTTTTGATATTGTTTTCTAACTTGGGGGAAGGATTGCTCTTTTTGATAAATGTTGTGAATTGTATTCTTCTGTTGACGTGGTTCGCATGGTTTGGCAAGGAGTGTTCTGAACTAGCGCTAAAAAGTAGGGAGATTGGGAGGAAGTTGGCGTATCTCGGGTGTGTAGGAAACGGGGCGATGGAATTTGTTGCAGTGCAAAATGTTGGAGTTCAAGATAAGACAAACGATCGGAAAAGATGGGACTACAAGGTTTCTTTAATTTGTTTATGTATTAATGTTTTTTTGAGTGATTGAAAAATATGTATTTAGTAATTTTTAAACAAATTTATAGACGGCAATTGGGTACATACAAAGTTGTCCATTAACAATCGAGACTTCAATTTTTGACGTCAATCTCAAATTACTGTTGTCGGTAAGAATATATTTACATACATATATTCGACTTCTTTACTGAATCCTTCTCGTGCAAAATTTTAAGATGTTGTTAATGGTTTCTATATAGATTTTCGCAGCAATCTCAACATATCTCGTGATCATTGTACAGTTCCAATCAGTAGATCATTCATAATCCAACTTGAGTAGTTTATTAATTGGAATACTTTCGTAGTTTGAGGAAAATTAAGTATGAATTTTTGGACTTTTAATGATTTCACTGAATAAAGAATTTATTTTTTATTGATGATTGATACGATAGCATTATTACGATATTGTAAAATTAAAAATTAAGAATGTCCATATGAAATTTGAAGTGAACAAACAAACCCCTTCAACAATATCCACGTGTAAGTTTTTTAATAAGAAACTGTTACTTAATATCAACTTATGCCAGATAGATAAGTAATCAGCGAGGCCGATCACGATTGTCCTGTTTATTCTAAATAGGAGTGTACATACGTAAGCTTACTTGAAATGACTGACCATGGTCAGTCATTGATGGCATTGACCAATTATTCTTATTTAAGTGATTGCATATTTATCTAAATATCTAGTTATACACTTAGGTAGCTTTTTACTTGATTTTTACTTTTGTATTTACACAATAGTTACGTTAAGGTACACATCGACATGCGAAAATATAATTGACACACTCACTCAAGCAGTAAAATAAATATGATTTTTATGTTAATGGCCCTCGATTCGATAGTCTGACGATGGTCAGTATCGAATCAACATGACGTCCTTCAATCAATTGCATATTAATTTCGATAATTATTACACTTCGTACCAGATTGAAATTCCTGGTAAGGATTCATCAGAAAAAATCCGCGAACAATCCGGAACTTCGATTCAAAATCAATCATTGCTCGCTGCAGTGACCAAGGAGTCACTTATGCCTCTACGGATATCACAGATTGCGGGATTTTTTCCAATTCCTATTCGCCCTCGGAGAAATGGCGACAATACGTCGGCGTCACTTGAACTTCCCGCCACTTTCTCTCTCGTTGCGACACCTTCTGCATGGTGGACATTTGTTCTAATCGCGATATCATTTTTTCCCATTATCTCCTTTCAAGCAGAAGCTGAGCGATTTGCCGATTATTCCGTAGCTTTCGAGTCCCTGGGTCGCAACACGTTTCGGACGATTAGCGTCTTGTGGACACTGTTAGGAAATGGGTGTCCTTGCTTGGCAAGAGTTGATGTCATTCTTCAACGCAGAAGATTCTTAAGATTCTGGACCAATTTTCTGGAAATGTTGGGACAATTTGATGTCGTATTGACCGGAAATAACGTCCTTTCACCAAAAAAATTTGGGTCATCCTTAACGAAAAAGTTCCTAGTGCATGTCATCCTTAACTTTGCCGCGGTCTCGGTCGGAATGTACGGAGGTCTCGCGTTTTCGTTTCAGTACGAAGGAAGAATTGACATTTACATAATGGGCATTTTACAAGACGGGTTTTTAAAGGTGCTCGGAGTCATGCAAGTATTCGGCTTCACTTTGATGATATTTTTCCTCCTGGTGTACAATCACTGTTTGGCAACTATTTTAAACGAGTTGGACAAGGGAGGACAAAATCGGGACGAGATGGCAGAAAATTTGATCAAATTGTACAAACTAGTGGACGACCAGGTTCATGAATTTAATGGGCTTTGTAACTACACAATGGTGCTGGGAGTCATGTACAATTTCATGTCCGTCTTATTCTACGGATATTTCGTGATGCTATTTTCTGCACTGGGGGAAACATTGTCCCTTTTGATAAATGCTGTGAATTGTCTTTTTCTAATGGCATGGTTCGTATGGTTTGGAAAGGAGTGTTCCGAAGTGGCAGGAAAAAGTAGAGAGATTGCAAGAAAGTTGGCGTTTCTCGGATATGGGGGAAACGATAAAACGCAATTTGTTTCAGTGAAAAGTGTTGAAGCTCAAGGTAGCAGAAATTCTCGGAAAAGATGGGGCTACAAGGTTTGCTGAATTTCCCATATTTTATTATCATTTGTAAGTGACTTAACAAACATTTAGTAATTTTACAAACCCATTGATACATAGACGGCCATTGGGTACATACAAAGCTGTCCGTTAACCATCGAGACATCAATTTTTGACATGAATCTCAAACTTCTGCTGTCGGTAAGAAAATTTGCATTTGTATGTTTGATATCTTGGTTGAATCTGGATATTAAGACGCTGCGAATTCTGTTGTTTTAGATTTTCGCAGCAATATCAACATATCTTGTGGTCATTGTACAGTTTCAATCCGTGGATCATTCATAATCCTGCATGGATAGTTTATTTATTAGAATAATTTCGTGGTGTGAACAATTAAAACAAAATAATAAGTAAAGAGTTCTCTAAATAAAGAATTTAGTTTTTCATTAATACAGCGCTGCTCGCCGTGTTTGGAACGATTTACATAAGTAAGAAGATTACTACCATTAATAACTAGTTATAAAAACTGAATATTTGTCAATTTCACGTGGCTAATTTCAATTTTCTATAGTCCCGCTGGCAGTTGTAATGCAGGAATTGAAGATTAATTCCACCCTCCACTATGCCTCTGATCGCTTGAGGCGGCCAGCTAATGTATTGCGAGAATATTTGAAATTGCACTTGATCAATACACAAATGATGCAAAATGTTGGAATGACATTTGTCTTTATGCACGGCCTCTTTTCGTATCTCGTTTTATTCTGCAACTTTACCCTTTTGGTACACTGGGATACGTTGGATAGAGCGACAATTGTAAGTGATATAATGTAATACATAAATACGTAGATATATGCCGGGTTCGGAAAACTTCGGGTTTTTGGAAGGGTTTTTTTTAGTTTTTTTTAGATTTTAGGGCAGGTTGAATTATGCTATGGCCGAAACCCTAGGCTTTTACGAACCCTGGAAATATTTAGTGAATTGAAATAAACATGCAAAAATTAATTTCTATATTTTTTGCAAATTATGCAGTTCTATTTGCCAGTTGTTTCCATTTGCGTGCAGACGATTTGGTCTCTGATGCTGCAAGCCTCCGGAGCATTTCGATCGTACGCGGTGAAGACGTTGAAATCCTGAGACAGCGTGAAATTCGAGTCCAAAGAGGAGAGAGAATTCTTTAACAAGTTTCGAAAGACGGTGAAACCAATTGCCGTTGGGGTCGAGGGGGTCATGACGTTCAAGCGATTAACGGGAATTTCCTTCCTTCGTGCCCTTATTACAGGGACGATCCGAGCTCGCCTCACGATTGGGGAAGATGTCCTGCTAGAATCGTTTTCTGAAGCAGCTGCCTAATTGAGCGGGTAATTTGAAGCACAAGCATTTTGAAGAACAGAAATTTGAAGTAATATGGATGTGTTATAATATTTAAATTCCAACATAACATAAGATGTACATAGTGGGGTCATAAGTTCTCGTGAATGCATTTCCGGTAATAAATCCCAAAGTATTAGAGCTATCTGTTCGAAATTTTTATGGATTAACAAGGTATTAATATTGTTTAGAAATCATAACTTCTTTGTCAAGATTTCGTCCACGGGCAATTAGACAAGACATAACTCGTGACGGCCACAGGTTGATCGTGGTACGCGCCAATTTTCGTGCCAAAAGTATTTCAGACTTTTCACCGTTGGCAAAAAATTTAATAGAAAAAAAGGCCAGATATTTGTTGTACAGAAGTCTGACATCCGTTTAAGTATGCGGAAGTCAATACGAAGTCATCACCGTGGTGTGCATGGGAGCAAGTTGGCTGGAGAAATGAAATCTCTGTTTTTTACCGCAAAGGGTACAAGTTGAAGCCAAGAATTATTTTCAGAGTGTCCTAAAGCCAAACGTTAATAACCTGAACCCTGGACCCTCCGAAAATCGCCATTGGACCTTTCAACAAGACTCTGTTCCTGCGCAAGGTGCAAAATTGTCCAAAACTGGCTTCAGACGAATTTTCATGACTTTTTTTCATCCGTAGAACGGTGCTCAGTATCTGCAGACCTTAATCCCCTAAATTATGACTGGTGGTCAAAATTATAGGTACAAGTATGCTCTAAATTTCACCCAAGTGTGGAAGGGCTGAGGTCGCACTTACTGAAGATCTGGCGCTTTTCCCAGGAAATCCGTGCGTGCCGCGATCTAGCAGTTTTTGCCACGACATATGTCTTGTGTACAAGCCCGTGGAGGAAATTGTGAAAACGAAGTTATGATTTCTAAACAAGATTAATACCTTGTTCATCCACAAAAATTTCTATCAGATAGCTCTAATACTTTGGGCTTTATCACCGGAAATGCATTCACGGGAACTTATGGTCGGACTATGTATGCATGCATGTACTATTTTGTAAAAGTTCAATCCTGCGTGGATGCAGAGTACATATGCAAATGTCGCATTTCCCAATCTAAATACGTGCACCATTTTAAGTTAATAATAAAAAATAATTTGTTTAATCACAAAGAAATGTTACCTGATGGCAACTAATACAAAATAATTAATAAAATAATCAAAATTTGTTTTTCCCTGACTGATTAATAAGCTGCATACATACATCTTCAAAAATTTATAGAGAATGCATTATTACCACGGCTTCTTCCACAAATTAGATTTTTTCAGTAAAGTCGACCTTTATTGAAATAGCTGTTCAGTAATTGATGGAATTAGCTAATTATTATTATTATTATCCATATAAGTAGGTGTGAACTTAACTATGTACATACTTAGCTAATTATTCGTTTCTTTACTGATCTGCACAATATGCTAAAATACTATTGACAGGATTCACCCATGCATTAAATAAGATTTTTATGCTAATGGTCTCTCGATAATTAGGGAACTACTTCAATTTCTCACGTTAGTGCAACGATGGACATTATCGAGTCGACATGACGTTCTTCAAACTGCTACATACAAATTTGGATAAACATTACATTGCGTACGAGGTTGAAATTCCTGGGAATTCATCAAAAAATGTCCCTGCAATAACAAGAGCTTCGCCGCAAAATCAATCATTGCTCACCGCTGTGACCAAGGGGTCAATCTTGCCCCTGCGGATATCGCAGATCGCGGGATTTTTTCCAATTCCCATTCACCCCCGAAGAAATGGCGCCAACTCGTCAGCAGCACTTGAACTTCCCGCTAATTTTTCCCTCCTCACGACACCTTCAGCGTGGTGGACCTTGGTTCTAATCGGGCTCACATTTTTCCCAATTTTCTCCTTTCAAGCTGAAGCTGAGCGATTTGCCGATTATTCTGTAGCTTTCGAGCTCCTGGGTCGCAAC